ATGTCTTTTGAAGCGGCGTTTATGAGATTTTATTTATTTTTCTTGCGCGTTCAGAGAGAGAGAGAGAGAGAGAGACCCTCGGCAGCGAGAGTTCATGCGTAACTAGTGATTCTATAGGACGATAAGAACGGCGCGCGTACGAACCACCATCAGTTTACCTTCATCACAACAGAGCAACGAAAAGAAGGAACAAGTGTGCCAGAGTCCTTTATTAGTTCCACCCACTCGCACCCTGATCCACGTCGTTTACTCGTAATTTAAGCGCAATTTACGCGAAAGTGCCTCGTAAGTTTCGCCGGCGCGAATATTTATTCGAAACTTTGTGGAAAGGACTTCAATGGAAACGCTCATTTCCCCGACATCGGAAAATATTCCATGACGGTGATATCGCATAAATAAACTTAATATAGAGGCAAACTGTTCACAAGATTGAACAGCAATATATTCCTAATAAAAATATTTTCAGATACTATATTCACCATCTTTGTAATAAATAAAACGTCTTTAAAATTAAACTTCTTTGTCGTTATTCTCAAAATTATTTAATCAAAATTTTATTTTTACCAAAAATATATGTATTCACCCGAGGTGAAAAAATTCTTATTATAACGGCGCACTGAGAGAAAGAAAAGAAAGTTGAGAAAAGTGGCAAGCAGTGCATTTGTAAAGTTTGCTACTTCTAAAGTACTCGCGCAAGATTAAGTGCACATGTGTTAATAATTTGTACTCTGTTGTAGAAACATTATTTCACATTGAAGAAGGGATTGAACGTTACTCATTAAACATACGACCCCTATTAACGTGAATTTAATTATCGAGCGTAATTATTTCCTCTGCGGACGTTCTCGGTTTAGCGGCCGAAAATTCTATATGACGCACCAACTATACGTAACTAAATACTATATTCGATAATTAGATTATAATTGGAACATTCGCAAATATCAGTGTATAATAAACGTAAAACTATTTCACACGTATCATTCTTATTTGAAGTTTAGGCTCATTAGATAATTGTTTAAAAAATGGATTACCGATTCTTGTTAAATAGTTAAATAATGCGTTATTTTAATGCTGAAATCTCTTACCTCATGCGTAGAGTTTACATTACACGATTTATAATTCACAGAATTCAGGACAACATGTAGTTTCATACACGATTTAATATCTTCATAAAATGAAGAGCTATAATATAACTCTAAAATATTTTAAAAAATCATTTTTTAATGATTTTTTTTTAAATAAATAATATGCAAGCTCTTTGATATGTATATAATTTCTCTCTTTAATGCACATCCACATATCACGCAGATTGCTCCAAAATGGTAACACCTTGCATAATTACGATGGAAACAATGTCTGCATTGTTGTAAATGCGCGCATTCTGCGAATGGCATGTGGAGAGATATATAAATTTAACACCGCACACTATGTTGCGCCATCTCCTGAGATAATGCGATTATTTCTAGGATTATAAACCGTGTTAAAAGCTTATTTACTTCGTTATAATTGTTTAAGACTACGTAACTTTAGCTTTCTTACAAGTGTTTTCTTTATATACTACAACAATGTAAATTAACATGTACTGAATCATAAAATAATTAGGCAATTTCTCACTTACGTCATCATATATGAAAAGAGAATTAAAGCATAATTTCAGAATGTAAAATAATATTTATATATACTTTATATATTTTACACATTATACTAATTTAAAAAAGACACTAAAATCACACATAGCGTTTTTCATAATTTATCATTTATACGTTATTAAGTCTGTAATATATAATATCATAAATATATTGCAGTTTGTACCAGTTCTTCGTAATCTTATAAATTATAACGCAGCAAGCATTGTTATTTTTCTGTGTCTGTTTGACAGATTATTCTCCTTGACCGCACGGAATTCAAAAGGTCTTTCAATTTTCACCTGAAACTATGGTACAGCTTAGGTATAGCGGTACAGCATATAACTATGCTAATCTTCATAAAAAACAAATTTGAACTGCATAACGTGAGAAAAATAATGGAGAAATATAGATCGATAAAATAGTTCTGTGACGAATTGGAAAAATATTTAATGCGGAAAAATGTTATACAATGTTGGTATCTATTATCGTGATCTCTGCAATGCACATTGTACTTCGTAGCTCTGTGTATCCTATCCGTGAAAGATAAATTAATCCGTTTAAGTTGGCTCAAGATCTCTAATTGCACCAAATCTATTTTTGAAGGTCCGTGCTTCCCGTGAAACAATATCGAGGGATACTCATGGTTTTATTTTAAGGCTAAAAATCTCTCGGATAAATACTTGGCATAGACGAGACTTCTAAAAGTTATTCTGCATAACTTGTATCACAGATTCCGTGAGAAGAGAAGTTCGAAAATCTCCTTAAAATACGTATACATATACCGTGATAGGGAAGGTAGGATTATATTAACAGAGTTGCATTTATTTGCACAATTCGTGCTGAATAGTCGATTCCGAGTTTTGATAGCTCGAGGTAAAGATTCTTATTCCATCGGGGGCGAAAGTTCTATTGCATTATAACAGAGCGGTGGTAACAGTGAAAGTTTAACGAGTTATAAGCTCAGCAAGAATAGTCGCGGTACGGCACACGTACGAGATACATGCTACGTTAAAGAGAGTACCGGGATTTCCTGCCCGCTCAAGTTGGGGCGATAAATCGAACCGGAATGCTAATACTTCGGCCGAATAGTTTGTCTCGCGCTTTGCCTTTCCGTTGCTAGCACCGGCATGATATGCTAATGGATCGGACGGCATTTCCGTCTAGATTCTTGTCTTCTTCTTCCCCGCCTTTCCCGAGTATGCCTCGCGATTCTAATCTATTCCAACTTTGAGATAAAAAAGAAAATAATAAACTACAATATTAATGAATAAAACAAAGTCCTTTCAGTCTTGGAGAATATTGCTTAAAGAATACCATTCGTACAATATTTATCTCTTTTTGCGTCAAAGTAACTTGTATGTACATTCAGTAATATTATTTTATTCATTGAGTACGAAATCATCGCATCAAACGTATTTTTTTTTATCTGTTTTACCGGGTGTTTAAGAAATTCTACATCTACCAACAGGATTCACACCTGTCCGAGCATTATCGTTGTAATCCCGAGACTTTTGAAGAGAGCTTACATATAGAAGATGCCGCGTAGAAGAGGACGCGATAGAGAACGGAGGGAAAAAGAAGAGAGGGCGAAGGGAGTGGACGCGGACCCAGCTAAACGAGTAGATTCGTAATCCTTTTACTGCCGCACGACGAGAGGCTTTGATGCTGACGAGCTTAGCGCTTAGTGACTTTCGTAACCGTGTCAAGCCGGCCTAAAGGACGAGTCGCGACTGAGACGCGTCGGCAAGCCTTTCGCGCGTTAAGAGCCATTCGTCCGAATCTTTTCTGACATTACGTCTGCCTTCGAGATTATAGCCCCGAGACAGCGGCGCGAGGGATTTACTCCTCAACGAAAGCGTCACACGTTACTTCGAGTTGCAAAAATCTCATCTTATTGTTGTAGATGCAATTGTAAATGTCGTTCCCTCGTTCTTCAAAGATAACTAATTTTCTCCCTTTGTTCCCCAGAGAACGTCATTTTGTTTCACAATGAACGGAAATGTACCTACTTTCATTTCGTATCAGAAAGGCGCTAATTAATACAACGTATTATTTAAAAAAAATAACTTTATCTGACTCGACTGCAAAATGTAATCATCTAGGGAAACGTAAAAGTAATTGAAATACGAAAGTTCTTGAGACGGATCAGCAGGCTTTTAAGGAAATATCGATAATGTGCGGCCGTTACTCTTCCGAACAATTGCGTTAGCGAATATCGGAAGACAGGGATATAGATTTGGGGTGTCGATCGTAAAGGTGATCGTAAAAGACGCACCCCGTGTACTTAAAACTTCTTTATGGGATAAAATTTCAGCTTTAAGAACATAATTGCAGGGTCATAATGATACTAAAAGATGTTAGGAAGTATAATTTAAAAGTTAAGCTTTCTGTGACATTTCGGGCCTAATGTACAGAAAGAAAAACAGCCTCGTTTAATCTTTCATTCAAATATCGTTCGCGGTATGATCGTTGTAATTAAATATGAGCACCAAAGTCTGAAACTCGACAGTAATCAAGCTGACGTTAAGCTCAACTTTCTATTCAAAAATTCATCAGTCGAAAGAGTTATCAAGGAGATGAGTTCCATCTTCTGAGAAGAATACTTAATGAAGAATGAAATGTCCGTACCTTATTAAAAATAAATTTCTTCGTTATATCCTACTCATCTTGACATTCTGAGATATATAGTCATATTTAAACCCTCCAACCGATTTATAATTCGTCGTATTTCGATGTACATGTATGTATAAATATTTCCAATTATTCTGTACTTTTGATATCAGTATATAAAATTTTATGTACAATTCTACCCTAAATCTTAGCACAGATTATAAAAGTGAGTTTTAAGCTAATAGTATCATAAATTATAATCAAACTAAAAATGTTACAGCATCTTCCAATTCTGTGGATAAGAAATTCTCTTTAGACGAAATTGTATAAAACATTTAGAAGAGAATCTTGAATTAGGTTATACCTTGCTTCCACTTAAAACGTTTCTTGCATTATTATTATTAGCAAAACCGTGTGTGTATGTGAATATACATAACATCTACATGTATGTGAGTGTTCGCAATGTATTGAAGTCGGATCAATGGAATCGCTAAGCCCAATGACTGCACGAATGTCATCTCTGAGAGAAAATTGCTTTATCGCGGAATTGTATCTAAACCGTCATCTAAACGAAATGAAAACACTATAATTCTGATACTATTAGCTCACTTTTATAATTTGTGTTAAAATCCAGGGTAGAATTCTACATAAAATTTTATATTCTGATATTAAAAATACAGAATAATTCGAAATATATGTATACATGCAAAATATATATTAAAATAAGAAGCGTATAGAAAAGACACGTCTTATATATTTCAGCTTGTCGCCCACGAAAGAAGATTGTCGACTTCAGCCTCGCGAACAATGGCTGCAATGAGTTTAGGTTTCATCGTCATGGTCACGCCATGGACGATTCAGGAAGTCGTTGCAGCTTGCACCGGAAGCAAGCCGCCGCCGTTTCTCGACTTTTTAGCTACGTGGCTGGCTCTATCCAACAGCTTCTGGAATCCTTTTCTTTATTGGCTACTCAACAATCATTTCCGCCGAATTTCGAGAGAGCTTCTTTATACCAAGGTAAGAACAAGTGCTTGCATTTTCAATCATTTAATATTAACATGCCCTTTGTCTATCGCGATGATAAATCAAATACAAGATTGAAAAAGAAATACACACAAGGCAATAAAAAAAGTGAATTACAAAAATAAAATGCAATTGTAAAATTTTATTTGTCTAATTTTGACTCGAGAGAGAATTGCATCCTAGTTTGAAAATTTATTTTCTAAAAATAAATTAAAAAATAAAATATGAGTTTTATGCTTTCGTTTTTCGCCAATTTATTTTAAAATAATTAAATTAATTTAACTTTTGTTTTTGTGTGCCCAAAGACTAGTTTTGGGCATAAAGGGCGTCTGATGTTTGTGAATTACATTAGACTATTACACAACGTAGTTAATACTATTTTAAACCAGTGAACATTTTACGTAAACCTTGTTGTATCAGAGTGGAAATTCGCGGATGCATGTTTTCGAACATCCATTAAAGTTCAACCTAATGTAGCACTTGGCAATTGACAAATAAATTTTTTCTTTCTACTGAACAGAAGTAGAAGCAAAAGATCGCGCTTTCTGTTTTATAAAAAAACTCTCAAAAGTTGAAAGATAAAAATCTTTTTCACGCATCAGAATACGCATTAATATCTATCATTTGTGATTACTAATAAGTACCATATAATATGTGTAATCATTATAATTCATAAGATTAAATAAATAATAATTTTGAATATAATAAATAATAATTTATATCATAATATAATAATTTATATAATAATTAATAAAGATGTAACAGTGTTTCTATATTCTGTATTATCTAATTCAAGTAAATCTGGATATAAGAAAATAAGATATATTCGGAATATGAAGTATGGAGGCGTACAATAAACGAAAAATTTATACGATTTGTAAGGTTCAATGAGTCCATAAGGGCCAAATGCTTTCTTTTATTTACCTGATTCCGTTTCTTCCGTTCGTTTTATCTTATCGTTACAGTTCCGCATTTTCCGTCTTTCGATTTTACGCTTCACTTCTTTTATTCCGCGAAATCAATCGTGCACTTGGCGCTACAACAGAATCAGTAAATTTCTCGAAGAGGATGGCGGTTCACGTCGCCGGCGAACGAATGAAGACGAACGACTTAACGCGACCTTCCAGGGAAACACGATGGAACGCGACAGCACCTGCCGGGGAAACAAGATTTATCCGCGTGCAAAACGCGTTACGCAGCGTGTCTGATACTTTCCGCGACAGATCCAGCGGTCGGTCCCTTCTTCTTCGCTGAATTCTCTTTTCGGATTCAGCAGGAACGAGGGGAAACGGCGGTACGTCGCGCAGCACGGCCGCGGCCACATAGATCTTGGCGCTTCGACTTTACAGGCCATGAATTCCGAAAAGCTTGTCGGCGTGCAGTAAATCTTTAATCGCCGCGCGAAGTGCACCGCGGCCTCCTCTCTACGTTCACCGGATACAAAACTACATGCAAGTACAGTAAAATACTCGTGCAGCACGTTTGATATTTCTTTACAATTGGCTTACGCGGGTTTTCGATTGGCAAACGACAAATGAGTTTGTCCGTCCGAAGCAAAAATCAGTGTATTACGTGGATCAACGGTTTCCTCGTTGTTTTAGCCAAAAATTAAAATCGACTGATCGGTGGATTATTGCGAATAGTAATATAACTAATCGATAGAACGATAGGCTACCCAGAACTCTCAACAGAACTGCTGGAACTGTTAAAAAATTTTCTTCCTTCGGGACTTAGAAATTTTTCGAAAGGAAGAAAATTTTTTAACAGTTCCAGCAGTTCTGTTG